TACTATTTGATCATTTTTTTTAAATATACAAAAATTAATATCAAAATTAGATTAAAAAAATTTATATTTGTAAAATATAAATTGTATTAAAATTATACATTTAAAATACACATGCAGATTATATATTATTTAATATCACTTAAATCAACCTGACTACATTAGGTTAGACCAGTTATTTAGAAATAGTAATGAATATAATAGCAATAAATACATTTTTCTACATTTAAAATAATTTATAATAAAAATATTAGCTAACTAATATTTAATTAATATAAAATATATTATAATGTATTATATTTATATAATATTTATAATATGATATAGTTCTAAAGTTATATTTAAAATTAATTAATATTTAAATTTATTATTAAAATAATATTTTAAAATATATTTGTAAGATTTAAATTGTATTAAATTTATACATTTAAAATACATATACACATAACTTAAATCAACCTGACTGCATTAGGTTACACGAAAGCTATTTAGAAATAGTAATTAATACAATAGTAATAAATACGATAATAAATAGAAATGAGTAATAACAGAAATATTTTCTCAAGGCAACAACTGAAAGTTTACTCATTTTAAAGTTTAAGAATGCTGGTCCAAGACCCAAAAAAGTTGTTGATCCAGGAACATGTCCTACTTGGATAAATCACATTGTGCTGTTTAGCATAACCAACAAAAACAGTCCACTTTCATCCAGACCTCTGAGAAAGAAGGTGGAGCTGAGAACTCCTCAGACAGCAAAAATTACCATAGCGTGTGAGACTTTCAAGCAAACAGCTTGTTTTCACACTGATTGGAAACAGCTTTGGTCTAGGGCAGGTTTAATTAGAGACTGGTTCTGGTGAGCCTCAAAAACAGGTCACTGTAGCTGAGCCACGGAGTACAGGGATGCTGTTCTTCACTAACTAATGGCTAGTTAAATAGTTCAGGTTTTCAATGCAACTGGATTATGTGAGTGATTAAAGAGCGAATCTAAACCCTGGTTTTATTCAAGTCCAGAGTTGTGCAGTTTAATTAACGACTCTAATCCTACTTTGTCCAGCGTGGACTGAAATCCTGCATGAATGGACACTTACTTCAGTTCCTGCACTCTGGGATTTCACCTTTACCTTTTCATGCAGCGTGGTTTATCCCTTTAACATTTAAACTGAATAATACTATAAAATATTACTACACGGCACTCTATTTGACTCTACAGCTCTATATTTAATTCTGTCAGTTGCAGCATTCTATGGTCAGTTTTCTTCTATAATGATGCTAAACAGTGTAATTGACTGTTGTATCCAGGCAAGCGATTTCCTTGCCGTGCTGGATGTCTGTAGTATCACTCTATACTGTACCTTTCTTTCTTCTGACACAATAAAATACTTTCACCTCAAATCAATGTTTCACATCCATTTATTTATTTATTTGCCTAGAAGCCATCTAATAAGCAGGACGTTCTGCTTCGCATCGGTGTCCTGATGACTTGTTGGGTTTATTTTGCAATGATGCCTACAATATTTCTAAATAATACACTATAACATGATAATATTTCTAAAATTATTATTAAATATATTTTAATTAAAAAATTAAATAAAACTAAGAATAAAGAATATTTGGTAACAGTTAACAATAAGGTTTCATTTGTTGACATTAGTTAACACCAGTAACATGAATTAACAATTAAAGTTGATTAACGTAATTGCAACATTTAAAAATACATTATTAAAATCAAAAGTTGCATCTATATAGAAACAGACAAAAAAAGAATTATTTTCATATATAATATCACAAAAATAATTTAAAAGGTAATAATTAAAATAAGGAATAATTTGTTAAATCATTTTGAAATTAAATCATTCAAAACTTACTAAAGAAAGAAAGAAAGAGAGAGAGAGAGAGAGTTGGACAGACAGACGGACGGATGGACGGACAGATGTATGGATGGAAATAATAATAATAATAATGCAGAAAATAAAGAATAATGTTTATTAAAAACAATAAATAAATAAGAAAGGAAGAAAGAAAAGTAGGTAGGTAGGTAGACAGACAGACACATGGAAATAATAATAATAATAATAATAATAATAATAATGCAGAAAATAAAGAATAATGTTTATTAAAAACAATAAATAAATAAGAAAGAAAGAAAGAAAAGTAGGTAGGTAGGTAGACAGACAGACACATGGAAATAATAATAATAATAATGCAGAAAATAAAGAATAATGTTTATTAAAAATAAATAAATAAATAAGAAAGAAAGATGGATGGATGGATGGATGGATGGATGGATAGATAATGCAGAAAATAAAGAATAATATGGATGGATGGATGGATAGATAGATAGAAAGAAAAATACTGGGCAAAATTATGAAGAGAAAGATTAATAGTTAATTTTGTCAACATTTAGCAGTAAACTATGACATGGAGTAAAAGCCACACAACTCTAATTTAGATTTTGTTGGGCATTTAACGAGTCATGTAATAGAAACTGACTCATACCTTCATTTTCAATGGTGTCCACTGCATTGTTCACCAGTCGTATCACCGTCACTATGGAGGCTAGGGCATAACCAAGTGTAAAATGCCAGGCAACAATTGAATCAATGATCAAACACTTCAAACAAACATCAAACACTGAATGAAACCCTTACATAAGCATTTCTATAAACCACTATGACCCATTTGTAATCCGCCAGCATCATGAAATCTGCTAAACAGAAGCAAGTGGACCTCTGATGTGTCAGTTTGGCATCTACTTTGTACAGCCGAAGTGATACTACACTACTGAGTCATGATAGCAATGGCGTTTGGAGAGCATATCAAAGGCAGATGGATTGTAATTACTGCACTGACCTATTCAGGATGTCACTTTGTTAAAGCAGGGTAGGGTTATTACTAATCCTCATGATTTCCTTTTGGAAAGATCAGACAACGCAAGTCATCTTAATTAGGTGAATGGAATAATCAGTTACCTCTGCCTGAGATTAGGTCATTATAATACAGGTGGGTGCGTGAGAGTTTATGTACAGTATAGGTTAATGTGATAATGTTGCATGTGTGTGTGTTTTTAATCAGGTCTTTTTAGTATATAAATGCAGGAAGTGACTCAAATTGGAGTTAAATGTCAGTCTGTCCAGCACTCAAAGCTATCATATGGCTTCAGAAGACTTGTTCTTTTGTGGTGCTTTTTTCCTTATTTATGCATTTATTGTGAAAATAAATGTGAAAGAGATAGCTGAAAAAGAAACAGAAATATCAACAAAACACACTATAAAAAAAAAAGGCTAAATGTGTTTATTATAATGAGTTTATGGATATTATTATTTTACGTTTTTTAATTATACATTTTTTAATAATGTTCTGTAATTGTTAATAATTAAAAATCTAAGAACTTGCAGTTTAGGCATAAGATGCCATTAAAGGGGTCATTAAATGGAGAAGCAAAATGGTCTTAATATTTACACATATGAGAGGTTACTCTACAGTTCAAAAACTCGAAACTACTGTACCTCCCCAGTTTAAAATATGATTTTTTTCTTTTATATTCTTCCAAAATGCCGGATTTGAAATCAGAAGAATGGTGATGTCACAATTTCCCCTCGATTCACCCCTTAATATCATATGTAACTGTCATAATGTAATTAATGAGGAACAACTCATTTATGTCCATCAATCACAAGAGAGACACTGCTGTTTTTGGAGCTAAAAAAAACTTCATAATAATTATAAACTAACCTCACGAAACATAAGAATCTGAAACTGGATTACATGACCTGTGATCGGTGTAATATTTAAGGTCTCATGTACAGACACTCTTTGTTGCAAAGTGGTTTACTGCTGTTTTTGAGTGAATCAAAGCAGGGACTAAACGATAAACTTCACACTGTTCCTCTGTTATTAATCTATATAGTGGTTATTTTATATACAGAAAGTGAAATATACAGTTCTTTTAATCAACTGACAGCACTATTAATCAAGGCTGACTAATAGAAAGAGCTAATGAGTGCAAAGAGACCAGGCTTATGTAACAAGAAGTGAGAAAACATCAACGCATATAGGGTTCATTCAGTATGTTATCTAATTGCTCTGTGGTTTATTCAAAAATTGCAGTCTTGGCCTAATGATTTTTGTGGGACCATATGGGATTGGGAAATGTTTATGTATGGTTACAGTAATGGTTAAAACATGACAGGATAAGATGCTCTAAAAAGTCCACCTTAAAAGCCATTTGCTAAACTTTTTTTAGCAGAGAAAGTTTTCGGAGGTTGTTTGGAGGGTATGTTAAGGACTTTGGGTCTTGCAATTCATGTTTCTCACCGTTGTCGTCGCAGGAATCGGACTGGAAGGACCTGAGGGAGTGCGCCTCGCTCGTGCTGCTGTCGGAGAAGCAGGTGACCTCTTCTGGTGCATTTCCAGCTTCTGCAGAAGAATACAATAGCAGATTCTTATACAGATCCACACACATGCAAATGCATGCAGCTGTGCTATACATTCACACTATACAATCACTCTATACAGTACACACAGCAGGGCTCAACAATAGGGATGGTTTAGGGCCAGCATGAGAGTTGTACGATATCTTTTTCATCATTTTTCCGCTAAAGTGTTTATGAATTTATAGATGTCATGGAGCTGAACAATTTCCAGCCATTATGCACAATAAACACTAATAAAATTGTTTTAACTTTATATTAAAAAAATGATACGTTATATTTA